TAGGAAAACTCTAAAATTATTAAATTTTAAAATCTCTTATCTAAAAATTATTTCTCTTCATATTGATTAAAAAGCATTTTTATTAACCTAACAATTGATATTTTTGGTAATGATTTTAAAACTCTATACATTTGTTTTTATTCATTTCAAAATTTTCTAAATGAATTACAAAATACTCAATTTAAAAAATTGTTTTATCGTTATATGAATTTGAACACCATTACTGATTATCGTAAAAATTTAATGCTACATTTGATATTCAGTTTTATTAGTAAAAATTTAAAAAACTTACCTAAATTATTTACATGTATGATTCATTTTTATCCATGACTTTTACAATTAAACCTGAAATATACATTAAATAAAAAAAAAATATTAGAGTTTTAGCTTTTGATAAAGTGATATTTCCTGCATCATTTTAATTAAATCTCTAGTGCCCACAACTGTGATAACATTACTTTACATCAAGGATTTTGTTTTGAATAAAAATTTTAAAAATTATTATTTACATTGAGAAAAACTGAATAATAATAATAATAATAGACTTAAAACAAATTTAGGGAATCCTTAATGAAAAATGATCGGGCTATTTCTTAATACATGTTTCGTAAATTTTTTTAATTTGAAATTTATATATAAATATATACACTTAGGATATGTGTATTGTTTATAAAAACGATAAAAATATAACTTACAATCTAATATAAATCCGAAAAACAACAAAATTGAGAATTCCAAACATTCACAGTAAAAATAAATATTTACGCATAAAATTCAATTATACTGTTTTTATACTTGAAAGTTTTTCTTTTTAAAATCTTTTCTGATTTACCTAAAAAACGCTAAAATGATAATATATACTAACGGTTAATGCCAAGAAAATAAATAAATAATGAAAAAAATGAATAAACCAATAATAAAATTTGCTACACAAATATCATCTTTTCATACAAATGCCTTCATGAATTCCACTGCTATTCTCTTCGCCTCTGTGAAGCCTGGTTGCAATTAAATATCTAAAATAACATTTTTCAATGCTGTTTGTAAACTTCATTTTTCAAGTTGGCCAACTTAAATTTTTGCGGGAAATAGGCCATTTAGATATCGTTCCACCGGAAATTTTTACAGTTGAAATATTACTATTTAAAAAAAAAAAAGATTTTAAAAAACCATTTATAAAAAATTCAATTATTTAAGAAAATGATTCTCAATAAAGAATTTCATAGGCATCCCAAAAAATAATTAACATGGTTGTCATTAATAACTTATTATTATAACTAAAATTATCGTTTAATTAAAAAACTGTATAAATATTGATTTGTATAAAAAAAAATATCTTTAATAATGTAACGAATTTTTAATTTTTGGTAAATTACTGAATAATTTTATATTAGTTTCAAATGATTATTTTAGAAAAATAAAAAAGACACAACTTAATTATATTAAAATATATATATATATATATTTACTTTAGAAAACATTTGTTAAGGAAACGAAATATTAAAATGTTGGTCGTATTTTTGTGTTTGATGTTTTACATTTAAATCATCTACAATTTATAAATGTAGACTTGAACGGCATAATGTGGTGGAGGAGGATTAAATACTTGTTTTCCTCCTTCCTTATAATCAGAATATTTCAAAACATGAATTTTTTCAAAACCCAATCTTTTGGCAGCCAAAGCTGATATGTGACTGGAACAATCTATTTTCACCATTTGAAAATTTTGTTCTTTGGCTACCTTTCTACAAAGACAGCACAAGACAGTTTTTGAATTATTACTCTATGACAATTAGATAATAATGTTTATTCCCATGTAATACATTTAAAAAATGACAATTTACAATAGATTACCTTGTATAGTCAACAAGAGCTTTGCAAATCCCTTGACCACGCCAATCACTATCAACTGATATTATTTTTATGTCCAAAAGTTTTTCCAAATCCGGATACCTGTTAAAAATATCTGTTTCTTTTTCACAAGCAGCCAACAAGTATAAAACCTTTTTAAATTTTTCATTTGGACATTCGTTAAAATCTTCTGAAATATTTCAATAAAAAATTACTTAAAAGTAATAATCACTGACATTCACCTTATTATTCCATTTTTTAAATATATATATAAATGCCTATTTACTTGGCTCGTTTTTTAAAATGGCGCCATTTAAACAAACTCCGACAATGTCGCCTGCTGGTGACACTGCCATCACAGAATTACCTTCTGGTATAACATTTGTACAATATTCTTCAAGTTCCAAGCATCGTTTACCTAAATGAAATAAAAAATAATAATTTTTTTTTTAGTTTAAAAAAAAATTCACATAAAATATAATTACCATTTATGTAATCCATTGTTATTCCTGTTTCTATATTCAAAGGTTCATCTCTGAAAAAAAACTTTGTCAAAAATTCAATTACATCCGGTTTATCTTTGGGTGTCATCACTCTCAAATTGAAATTTTTCTTTTCCATTTTATATATAAAAGACTGTAAAAAAATTTTTTTTTTTTTTGATTAAACTTACTCACACAAATTGAATTGAAAAAAAAAAAAAAAAAAAATTTTAATCATGAAACTTACAGAATTTTATCAAAGTCTCGATTAAACAAAAAAATCAGTAAAAAAAAATTAATTAATAATTAATTAGAAGCCAAAAAAAAAAAAAAAAAAAATTTCTTTTGCTATTGATTCCAATTGTAATCCTCTTCACTTTTTTTTTTGTTCCCTTTTGAAATGGAAATAAATCTTTTTCTTTGTCACTATATTTTTTGTTCAGTAAATTTATTTAATTTCCTTTTGGAAAAATAGAAACGAATTTTGTTTTTATATACATTAAATGTAATAAGTAAAATTTTATATTTTCAACCGTTTTTTTTTTTTTTATAAAAAATTTTGAAATTTTTTTTTCCCTTTCATCTCAAGTATTAATAATAATAATATAAAAATAGCGTTACGTGAGAGAGTTTTCAATTATAACGATTGTTCAAACCAAAAAATTTTTTAACAAAGAAAGTAAAAGTAAAAAATCCTTTTTTTTCTATTTTTTTTGTTTTCATGAACTATTAAGTGATTAATAATTTATAAAACAATAATAATAATTTTTATTATAATTAATAATTGGACATCTTTTAAAACTGTCAGTAAAAAAAAAAAAAAAAAAAGTTTTTTAATAACTATCATCCATAATGGAAATGGATGGATTATTATACATTTAAAAAAAAATCTAAGAAAATTTTTTATATTTAATATTAAATTTTTCCCCCGGTTTTGAATTTAATAAAAAAAATTTATATTGATAACTCTCTCACAACATAATTTCTATAACTTATAAAAAAAAAAAAAAAAAT